TATATATATATATATATATATATATATATATATATATATATATATATATATATATATATATATATATATAAATAAATAAAAAGATCTAATTTGTTGAGAATTGCTTAGCGAACCGATGAAACGCGCCCTCCCGTCGCGATAAGCTGACCCCTTGATTGTTGTCTGGGTCACACACAGACTGATGATGTCATACTGTTGTGTGTAGAGAGATGTTAGGATTCGGTTCTGTCTCTGCGTTTTGCACAATGTTACTTTTTTAACGATTCCTTGCTAAGATGAAGTGAGGACGGAGAGGGATGGGCTCCGCCTTCCAATACCGTGCCCTGGATACAGGGGATGGCCAACCCACTGCATAGCTAGACTCGCTTAAAAAGTCCAATACTAGATCACACTACTACTACTACTACTTCTAATATTACGTAAATGTAAAACGCTGAGACTCGACGGAGGCGAATCCTATTCTCTCTTTTTTTTCAGCAGATTAAAAAGCAAGTTTGCTCTTTGACTTTGCCCATTTGGTGCGACCATAAAAAGATACGGTAGTCCCGCATGCAGGATAGAAGCGGAGCTAGGCGCCACATGTACACTTAACACTGAATGGCGTGGTATGGATTTTAAGGAGTTTTGTTTAACATCAACTAAAAGTAGATGTGATGATCTATGTGCCACACTAATTGGTTAGAAGATTAGATCTAATCTGAGAGCACTTTACCATTTTCCACGATGCCAGATCCATACGAAGCCGTTTTCCGTGGACTCTTCTTGGTCGCTGTCTAGCGAGACACCGATAACTTTCGTCCAAAACTCTCTGTTCATGACCAAGGGGATGTTCAAGTTGAAGTTTGCTGAGAAGATTCTGAACTCCCATGTACCGTTTTCTCTGACGGCCAGTCCAATCCACGTCGATGGCCTATATTGGCTACTGTCTTCCCGGTTGGTTACGACTTTGCCATCGAAAGATCTGCTTGGAGATTAGGGAATGTCATCACTTATTCCGCGTTGCAAGGGCTCTTCTTAAACAATGCGGAGACACGCTTGCCACAGCACACAAAAGTTCCAGGGCAAAAGTCCATTCTTGCAAAGTCTGAGGCTTAAATCCTTTTCGTCTTCATCTTCTTCGTAGGAGGACCTCCTGAGCAAGTCGTCGGAAACACCGTCGCTCCCCGCGCCTGCCGCCTACCCAGTGTGCAGCTCAGCTCATCGCAGCTCGATAAATGCAGCTTGATCGGGTTAAGATTTATCTGCTATTCCTCCCTTATATTTCAGTACGTTTCCTTAAGGAGAATATGTCCAACTCGTAAACGCTGATATATGATTGTTGCTGCCAGCCCTCCTCAGCTGGAAAGGACATGAAATGGCTGAACCCTGGCAACCCTCGGAGCCTCGCACGTCAGTCTGGCTTTGACGTGAACTTTGAGACGTCACTGCTCACGTTCAGAGAAATTCCATCAGTTCTGTACGTAGTTTCCACTAGCCTCAACGCGGGTTCAAAAAAAAAGGAAGAATTTAGCCAATGGGCAGAATAATTGACTGGTGAAGTTGAGCCAGCGTAGAGTTTATTTGGGGGAAATTAACCCTCTCGTGGACGGACTCTCCTGGACAACTACTAGTATTTCCCGTTTTTTTTACCAAATTGTAGGATCCGTACCCCTGTAGAAAGGCCTGGTGGAGGCTACCGGCTCTGCAGCGAGCGTCCACACGATATGCATGTGCAGGCCTAGATTCCTTGAAACGTGCAAAGCTAGAAAGTCGAGAGGTCACACTTTTGCGCTGTAGGAAAGGCACTTGACAGGATTGTCTTGAATCCACTCCATGATGATGGGCAAGGTAAAAGACGTTGGAATTAAAGGGTTTGGCTCCGACGTCCAATACCGTACCCTAGACACGGTGGATTGACAACCCACTGCCCCTATGGTCTCAAAAACAAGCAATGAGAGTACATTTGCATTTTTGCGAACATTCAGGGAGCAGTGCTAACGATCAGAAAAATTCCATGACTGTCCACACGGTATGCAGTCCTTTGCAAGTCTTGAAACCTGCCCTGTTCAGCGGAGGACTCAAGTGCAAGTCGTCGGAACCTCCTCCCCATGACTCTGACTGCTCCTTTAGTGCATGGACGTGCTTTCGTGCTGATTAGCAGGGTTATTTGTGATGCCGGCTTTATATTCCACTTTCTCCTTTATAAAGGACGCAAACACGACATAGCTAATTTACGACTCACCATAAATACATAACACGTTTGTACTGTCTAACCGTTGAAGGACAGAACATGGGCCGATCCGTCATAAAAGGAGGTGCAAGGGGAGACAAGGTAATATATCACACAAGATCATGCACAAATCCACGGCTACAGGGTCATCTATAGGACAAGAAACAGCAAAAACAAAAACAACTTCTCCTCCTCTTCGTACGTGGACTAAAGCTAACACATGTAAACGTGAACACGTGTGAACGCCAAGGTCAACAGTTAACCCTCGGGTCCAGAGACAGAATTACTTAGCACTAGACGAAACAAGCTGGAATAGTTATTTGCAGTTTGTATTAAAGTCGCCAGATGGCAGTATTGAGACATCGTATGTATCTCTGTCTTTGGTCAAGCTGTTGTTGAAGCTTCAGCTGACGGAGGCCTAGGCAAACACTTTGAACATTGACTTTGGAAGGCACGTGGTCGTCATTCCATCCATGCCAAGTATTGGTTAAATCATGTTAGGCGCGTGGCCGGCTATATCTTTCTGGTTTAACGGTGCACAAATAAGAGTTCAACCGAACATAAAGTCAGTCGTACCACAAAAGGACAAGTCATAATCAATCAGAAGTTTTCAGGACAATAATAACCAGGGGTTTTCCAGTTACCAGTATCAGACTTAAGCGTCTTTGATGGTTACACAGCTACGATATCAGCTTAAAGATAAACTTTACAGATTTTCAGTCAAGTGAAGAAAAGCAAATTTCAACTGTAATTCTAACAGGAAATTGGACTTACCCACATTTTTCGAGTAGTGTTGGAAATTACAATTCAAACATGTCTCTACCAACACAAATGAACTTTCAAGACAACATCTACATTACAGTAAAATAACCCCGTTCACACTGTCTGCCCTTATAAGATTTTAAAAAAAGCCTACCTGAAACTGTTTCTTATTTTGGACAGCCGTCTCCTAATCTTGCCCGGCGGTGGGGCGGCGTCCTCTTCCTTAGACGGGTCCACCTTCCTCATCAGACGGGACTGCATGTACTGAACAATCCCGGCAACCCTCATGAACCTCAGGGTTCGATCTCGGCCGCCGGACGCCATCTTGGAAAATTCTGCGGTAGGTCTTTCACCTCTCACAAACACAACTAAAGACCTTTCAGGTCTTTGTTGGAGGTCACAAATTCTTTCTTAAAGTGTTGCCGAAGGATCTGTTCTCACGGTTGACGTGTCCTTAGGTTGAAGGCAGCGTTTAGAAGGTAACTATGATTGTCACAGATTGTCCTCCAGCTGTGTTTAGCACGCTGTGGAAGAATGGATTACAGCTTGGACATATTAGGTGTTTAACGTACACGATCTCTGTGTGAGCGTCACGGGTCCTAATACTTCCAACAGCGGTAGTATCCGGGCTGGGGGTTTCACAAAGTCTTCTGGAAACGGTTACCGGCTTGAATCAAGGAGCTTCAACAAGCTTGGATGAATCCTCAGTGAAGTCCTGCGGTTGCCTTGTGATGTCGATGAGCAAATGACTCTCAAAGTTGTTACATCAGCGTCAGTCGGTAAAGCGATGCGTGGTCCTTCAGAAAGGCAGGCTGATGTGTTGAGTCACTGGTGGTTGAGTTGACGGATTCCGGTTTGTCAGTGCGTTAACACACGACTTCTTTACCTCATCCAACTGCGTAACCAACGCACGAGTGCGTTATAAGAAGTGGTTGAAAAGAAAAGACGATTTCGTCTTTCCCGGAAGGCTCCTCTCAGCCGGAATCCAAGGCGAAGTACGACCATGTACCCGTGAGAACCGACGATCGACGGAAACCCATGCGCACCCTACATCCGCACGGGCTGCTCGCTTTGGCCATCTGACGAAAAAGGCCGACCTGCGTCTTTCCGCGAAAGGTCCGGGAATTCGCGGACAAGCCCTGCCCGGACAAAAAAGGCTCTCGCCTCCCAGAGCCGGCCGGGGGTTTGACCAAACGTCGCCGTGGCGTGACGCTGTTATTTCGGAGGTCGGTCGTCATGCAGAGGTCACGCTGGGGGGTTACTGCGTCGGACGGATGCTGGGCCGTGACGTCACACAGACCGGATATGACGTCGGGTGACGTCATGAGCAAGCGTGAGCGTCAGCGCAACGTCTGCCCCCCCCCCCCCAAATTCCAAGAAAGACCAATTTCTGTTGGAACAAGGTTGTGGCATCAGCTTTGACGCTTTATGATCAGGCTGGTCGTAGTCGGTGTTAGCCTGAGTGTCAGCCTAATAGCTTTCGTCCGCTCCCCAAGATCCGCTCCCCGCCAGCGGACGAAAGCTAACAAGGCTGACACTTAGGCTAAGTCGGTGTCATTGTCAAAGAAAGTTTTCTGGTGCACTAGCAAATCAATGCACCAAAAGACAACGCTCTGATTCATTGGGGACATCTGATTGGTGATTTTTTGGTCTTCATATTTGTGTCAAGTGACGTCAGCCAAGTTTCAGGGACAGTTCAGTTTCCCCGAAGTAGGCAGGATGTTCCCATGTAACCATGGCCTAATTTAACTTCCGTTCAACCAACAATGCACCGCCACTACCCATACCAATTGTATTATACTAGTATATGTACTTCCAAGTACGTGACGATCAAATATGCGTTGACGAAGGTATGAATGAATAGTAGAGGACCAGTCAGTAAAGATGTGCTTCTTACAGATCGACGAATACGTAGACTGGTCAGTATATTCCTTTTTATTACTTTAAACATTTTTAACATCATGAAAAAGTTGTGCCCTTTCAAAAGTACCAACTTTACTCTTCTAAAAATGACAGAAATTGAGGCACAATCTAGCCTTTACAAGTCGTAAATTAATTAAGTACAGGAACCAGACTGGTTACATGCGGAAGAAGAAACATTCAAACAAGATTTTCTAACATAGTGTGTGGGCTAAGACCAACACATATAAAATGGAATAGTTGTCAAGATAATTATATATTATAAAGTATGGCTTTTCACATAAAGATCTTGTATGTCTGTGTGTGTCTGCAACCTTAGCTTACTACGAACGCGACTTAATAATTATTCGCGAATGTTGCCTTTATAAGCCTGTCTTCCCTGTGTTTTAAACAATAGACACATATGACGCTCTTACACATTAGCAAGTACATTGTACACGTGGCATCAAATATTTACACAACAAGGCGACAACACCACGTGGCCCTTTCTTGAACTGATTGCCTCTTATATAAAGTTTACATAAACCTATCTAAAAAGTTCGTAGCATACTTAAGACTCATCCAGTATTTGCGGAAATGCGTACACCGGTTTACGAAAAAATAATGATACCATCATAGTACATCGCATTGCTCTGGTCAAAACTAGAACTACATGCAAGTAATACATTAAGTGACCACGATACATGTATATTTTACACTGGTACAGTGGTAGGGAGTACTAACACTTGATGGCATCTTACGTCCTAGCCTTGGTCCTAACTATAAGAGAATCTTCTGTAATATCAAGCACATACATAATGAATAATACTCATCTTCACTATTACTTGACTACGACAGTTTAAGTTTATACAGACTCCCTGACACCTTTGGCCCTCTACTGACGCGGCGTTTCTGTTCGGTCACGTGACATGGTCAGTTTTTCTGACGAAGACCGAAAACTTGGATGGGTGTAGAACACATGGAAAAAACTTAAAAACTTTGATAATTGAGTAAAGACTATCACTTTATATTTGAAATATATATCTTAACGGTTATATATATTTATATTTTACGATTTGCTGTATATAGGAGCTCTACCCTCCCGCATCCAGTATAGAATTCTGGCGGGGTTGGGTCGGTAGGGGTGGATGGGGTTGGTGTAGTAGGAGTTGGGCCGGTGTTTGGAGATGATCGTGCCCCACCAGTCATACTCGTACCGTCGCTCCGATGACGTCAGCAGGGCCGGGGACGTGTCGGTGGGAGGGGGGATCCAGGGCATGCGCATGTCGATGTTGTCGTTGTCCCTTGTGTAAAAACAAAGTGTTGCGTCATCATAAAAATTCATCTGTGTTGGTAGTTACATGTTTAAAATTAAAACGTTTGATCCAACGCAATAAAGTTCTCTCATCTTCACTTCAAAGAAGCCACGTGACAAGCTTCACTGGGTCATTCTACTGAGGAAGACCAGAGTGACTGACTGGTCGAAAGCTCTAGGTGAGAGAACTTTATTGTGTTGGATCAAAAGATTTAACTTTAAAAATATATCCAAAGTTTTAACTTTACAAATCTACTGTGTTTGTATCATGTATGTAGAGGTTAGAATTGACTTTCATTTATAAATCTTAGGCCAAACCGATTTTTAAAGTTATTATAGTGGGCCGAAATGCAATCAACGTAAATGAATGTAACATGCAATTCAGCTTCAAGGCTGCGAAACGTTTTAAATCAATAAACCAGTCATCGTCATCACCTTCTAGGCGGGAAGCGCTCGACCAGCTCGATGCCCTGCTGACTGGCGTTGCGGGCAGTGAAGGTGTAGTTGTTCGGCGCCCGCCAGATCCCGACCCACTTAACAAACAAACAAACAAACAAACAAACAAACAAACAAACAAACCTTCTAGGCGGGAAGCGCTCCACCAGCTCGATGCCCTGCTGGCTGGCGTTGCGGGCAGTGAAGGTGTAGTTGTTCGGCGCCCGCCAGATGCCGCCCCACTTCTCACTCACGCGCAGGATCCCCTTCCCGATGTCGTCTGCCTCGATGCGGTACTGGTAGTGGTTTTGGTGATATAATGAGAAATGATGAGATGATAGAATGAGAAATATTAAACGACATCGCGATTAGTTATAGCTAACGTTATAAAACAACCAAAAAGACCTGAAAACAACAGAAAAAAAACAGACAACAAACGGAAAACAACAACAAAAGAAATAAAACTGAAAACATCAAATAAAAAAAGGAAAAGCAAACCGAAAACGTGAGATTGGGTCATGGATCATGCGTAAGGCCAATGATGTTACATGCATCACATGGGTTCACCATTTTACAGATGCTTTGAATTCGAACAGCTAAAAGTTAGAAAGATCTGTATATCGACCATGATCCAATAGAAATTGTGTACCATAATGTTTCTAAATGGTCTAAACATACCTCAAAGTACCCCTCCGTGCCCGTGTCCCTGATGGCGTCGGCGTACTTCAGGATGGAGTAGTCCTTGGACAGGTTCGGGCTGTCTGCGTTCCTCAGCGTCACGTGACCTTCCCAACCCCGGGTGGACATGCTGGTGATGAGAATGAAAAAAAAAATTATGATCAACAAAGACATTAAGTAGCATTAAGGGCGATATATAGCAGCAGCTAATTCTAAAAAAAAACTGATTATACTATAACATAACACTTACATACACAACATAAATCACTATAATTATCATTCCAGGAGTATTGCAACAATATGACCAGGTAAAAATTGTGGAAAATTTCATATTGGAAGTTATAAAGGAATATGACCCATGAAAGTTATGTATGACGCTATAAACTCATATAATTTATATAAATATATAACCCCATATAATCTACATTTGTATATAAACATGACATTTGGATAATCTGTACTGTATTGTACGTTACAGTTTTATTATTTAATAATGAATTGCATTATAATTGAATGTTGACGATTTGATATCTGACCTGTTGATGAGAAGTGTCCAGCCGCCTCCATGCCTCCGGAAGTCACAGAAGACGGGGACGGTTTCGGTCCCCACCAGGATCGTGTGCACGCCGTTATCCGGGAGACCCTTCCCGTCAGCCCTGTCGAACTCCTGCTTCTGACGACATGACCGCGGAGAGGTCCGCGCTAAGGCGAGGGGAAATCAGACAAATTGGAGATTTTCTTAGATGTTGGCGATGTTTTTCGTATGATACAGCAAACTCTCTATTACATGAATTAGTGTAAAAATGGATTCCTGATTTAAACTTGGGAAGTCCATTGATGGATGTTTATCATTGTTTTTTTTACGACTTTTTTTACGACATCCAATCAACCAGCCTATTGCTACCAGTCAAACAACTAAAATTACCAACCGGTTTACAAACCAGCCAACCAACTAACCAACTATCCATCCAGTCAAACAACCAACCTTCCAGCCAGCCAAAAGAACAAACAACAGCCATCCGACCTACTAAATAATCATCCAGCTATCCAAACAATCAATAAACCAACCAATCAGGTAGCCAGTTAGGCAACCAACGAATAGAAAACAAACCTCATTGTTCTTAACTAAAATTGCAGAAAAATTGCCGATCAAACTACCTTCCTTCCCGATGCCGACACAGTCCTTGCCGCCGTACTGCGGAGCCGGGTCCGAGCAGGTCCTGCTCCTCTCCAGGGTTTTCCCCGCGCAGTCGCCTCCGCAAGGCTGCCAGGGGCCCCAGGATGCCCACTGCCCGTTTACTGTGTGTATACATGTAAGAAAAAAAGAGGAAAAATACATGTCGTAAATGAAAACCTTCAAAGGAAGGCCTATGATTTTTCTACACATCGTCAGACAGCTGGATGCATGGTTTGGGTCGAAAGGTTCAGAAAGAAAAGGACACCACTGAGGATGGTAACCACGTTGTTCAATACAAATTTAGGGTAACTTTTAAAAAAAGGAACTAAAGAGGACATTGAATCTTCTTGATGTTGGACTGTGGAAAGAAAAAGACACATAACAATAGAGAGGGAGATAAAGAAGAATCAGGAAGCTGAAACCTAACCTGCATCGCAGTGCACTCCGGAGTCGCAGCCTAAGAACTCCGTGCTGTTGCCGAGGCAGATGCCTCCATGTTGGGGAGGGGGGTTGTCGCACTGCCTGGTCCGCTGGACCAGCCCCAGTCCGCACGACACCGAACACTCCGTCCAGGAGGACCACTCACTCCAGTTCCCGTTTACTGGGGGAAAATTGGATGGGATCACGAAACGTTAGAGACAAGAGAAGATAACATATAATTAAGGAACCATAACATAAATCCTACATCAACAGGTGGCCGTTGGAAAAAATAGTTTGAAAAGACTTCAAGTACTTCAGTTTATTAAGAATGAAATTCGCGGATTGCGTCCTAATGAGAAAATACATTATGATATAGAGACACTTAAAAACCTACGCATTAATTCGATACAAAGTAAAATTAACTATATACTTACAAGTACGAAAAATCACAATCGAATTGGATATACTTTGAAATTAAGAAGCTTTCTTAACCTTCTTGTAATGAAATGGTAGTTGTGGTCGATCTATCGAACTGCTAGTTGTCCTTCAACCAGTCATCGCCCTCTAAAAGCATTTGTCAATTTTTTTTAATTTTTTTTTATTCCAACATTCCAACCAGACGTGGTGACGGCACACAAGTTTTTGCAACTTATATTAATGTCGCCACCAACACAGGGGACAAATACATGACAGGACAATACTCATTTACACCTGAGCGAATTATTTTTAAAAGGACAAAAAATCTATCCGCACCTGGATCCGGGCACTTTGGCAGCCAGCATCTCCTGGCGTCCTTCCTGGAGCCGGCGCAGTCCTTGCCGCCATGTTGGGGAGGGGGGTTCTTACAGGTGCGGAAGCGGATCTGCTGACCCACGCCACAGCTGGCGGCACAGCGCGACCACGTGGTCCAATCCGACCAACCACCGTTAACTGGAATGTGATTTTGAATAATGTTGATCATACTGGCAATGCTACTTGATGGATCACCATAGGCTTAATAAATGGCCCTCCAATTTTAACAAGTATAAGGAGACCATTTTCCTTTATACAAAGGTTGAAAATAAAAACTCTTACTCGCTTTGGGATTGAGGCGAACACAACACCTTTTTGTTGAAGTTTGCTTTTTTTATGTGTGTCGTTGTACCCTGCTATAAAAAAACTAAAAAAAACAACAACTAACAATAAAAACAATGTGCGGAACCTACTAGGACAAGGCGATTCGTCGCACATGGCCCTGATGGTAGCCAGACCCCTGCAGCGGTGTGTGTGTGTGTGTGTGTGTGTGTGTGAGTATCTATGTGTGTAAGAGAGAGGGACTTACTAGGACACGGCGGGCCGTCACACATGGCCCTGATGGTGGCCAGTCCCCTGCACCGGTCCCCGCCGAACTGGGGCCGCGGGTTGTCGCACTTCCGGGTCCGGTTCCTCAGGCCGCGCCCGCAGGACGGGTAACACTCCGTCCACTCCGACCACTGACCGTAACCGCCGTGGACTAGAAAACAGGTATCGATCTATGAGACATGGTGCACGTGAAGGGTAACAACTTTGCTATGGCGACAACGCAACTTTCGCATTTACAGGCAATCACACCTGGACGCTTTGAACTGAAACAGACTGAAGTTCTCTTTGAATTTCAGTTCTTTGCTTGCGACTCTCAAAAACAAACAAACATGTCGAAAAAGTATTAGAAAAAATATCGGGATGCATCTAGTACATCGGGTGAGTTGACGGGAATTCATCATTCTCATAAAAGAGAAAACATCTTAACCAATGTCAAACTCACTTGGACACGCCGTAGCGTTACAGTAGGCGATCTCCCCCCTCCGTCCGGGGCACTGCCTCCCGCCGAACTGCGGCTCGGGATCGCTGCACTCCCGCACGCGGATCTTCGTGCCCTGGCCGCACGTCACGCTGCAGGCAGACCACTTGGACCAGCTGGCCCAGGAACCGTCAACTGGCGATTGAAAAGTTATTATGTTACGCTCCTTTCCCATGAATCTATCTCTGAGTCCGCTTCTATGGGCCAGCTTTACACAAGGGCACTACAGTAAGAGCAGACCCCTATATGTACCTACATCAAATGGTGGTTGAAAAGCCAAAAAGTTATGTTAAAATTCTTCCCAACTGGTAGGCACGATAGTTTTAAAAGCTTCGAATTCTCTGTATAGCAACAACCAGACTTCGTTTCACAACTAAGACAAGTCTCTCCGACTTTCAGCTGCCTGTCCTACAGCCTTCATCAGGCCCAAATGACCAAATCACTGTCTCTTTCAGACCACGTGAAGTGAGGAAAAGTTTCTTTTTTACAACTCTTGTATCTATTCAAGCAAAACGTGAAGAGTATAAGAGAACATTACATAACGTAATTAATTCTGCATCTTTTATCATTTTCGCTACAACGTCTGACGGGAAAGTGCAACTCGTTACGTACTTGCACAAGGAGAATCCATGCAGGTGTCGACCTCCCGACTGGCTCCTTCACACGCGCTTCGGCTCACCTGTCCGTTCACCCTGCATTCCCGGAACCTAGTAAGGAAAAGTAGCAAAGGCGAAGTTGCGATTTACTGAATTTTCTATTTATATATTGGCATTTAGTGTATGCCTTAAACTGGAGACCTGTTAGGAAAAAGGAGAAGAGTCAAGCCCAACCCCGCGTTGGAGAAAACGCGTGGTGTCCATTGGACTTTTTTTTAGCGAGCAGACGTTGACTAAGGCCTAGACGCCAAAGAACAGATAATCTCCAAGCTGATCCTAGGGTGGCAAAGGACAGTATTCATAGTATCCATTGGCCAGGGAGGGTACAATACACCTCTCTGGCCAATGGATTTCGCCTGGCCAATTTGATACTGTCTTATGCCACCCTAGGATCTGCTTGGAGATTCAGGACAGGCCCATATGGAGAAAATAAACCCATGGCCTCATGTTTAAGCAGAGACGAAGTGGACGAGTAAGTCCGTTAACGTTGTTCTTGCTCGTTGTCCTTACCGTGCTTTCTGGCCTTTCCCGCATGTCAGTGAGCATTCCGTCCAGTCGGTCCACTCGCTCCACACCGCGCGGTTCTCGGCTGCCAGGATCTCGTTAGACCCAGAGTCGACCCTGTCGTCCGGTAACACTTCGTTAGGGGGCGCTTCTGGTGACGCATTGGTATTGTCTGGCTCTGAAAATAGAGAGCAAAAGATCAACTTTTCTGTACGAGTATTTGACAAAAAGTGGCTCCTGCAAAGAAAAAGATAGTTTCAACGATAACTCAGGTCGGTTCAAAGGGATATCATATAAGAGTAAAGTAAGAGTTTTGAGTGTTTGTTCTCGGGAAAAGTTAGATGTTTTAGTAGTTTTCGTTATTGTCATAATCGGTTAGAGATTGCGAGTGGTTTAAAGGGGCTAGTATATGTTGAACCAGACCGAGCTATCGTCCAACATACTGAAGACCTTAAAAAACCACGGAGGTTAGTATGTGTGCTGTTTATGTGCTTTTGAAGCCTTGACGCTGTGATTGGTGCATCCAGGTGACGTCAGAGTGACGTCATAGTGACGTGTTGTTGTTACCAGGCGCGGTGGGAGGTTCGGGGATAACGTTGGCCCCTGATGATGACGTCGTTGTCGAAGTTGTTGTCGTCGTTGATGCTGTTGTTGTTGAAAAGACCTTCATGAACCCTTCTGTCGAGATCTCGTCCAAGACCGAAACTGTAACACAGAAGTGCATCCAAATTTTGGGCGTTAGGCAAGCGTTAGGTACAGTGCGGAAGCGACGGCCGTTTGCTGGTTTCGTAGCCTTCGTCTATGTCGTCGTTTTTTTTCAACATCTTAACATTACTTTTTATTTCTAGTTTCCTTCCACCTTTTTCTCTTCATCATTTCCTTCTTTTCTTTTCTTTCTTACCATTTTTATGATTTCTTTCACCCGGTGCATGTGGTGACTGATGGTTATGTTGCTGAGCTAGCTTCAAAATCTAAAATGTGCCAACATTTAAGGAAAAATCCATGTACACGTCACTTTAACACTTTAACACATTAGAGTCTAATTTTGAATGCATTTCGTTGCTGGAGATGAGTCCGTCTCTCGTGTGAACAAGAACAATCATATTGTATCATTCCCAACCAGTTCTCTCATAAAATGTTAGACAATTTACAGTGGATGGATCTATATATGGCTAAACAGTTGCGTCTTACCCTTGACGTCCCCTGACGCGTCGCCGTTGTTTTTCCCCGGCTCCCCTTCTTCTGCCGACTCCAGGATGTTACCCGATGTCTCCAGGCCCTGGTCGCAGGCCGGCAGCGAGCAAAGCTGATACTCCCTCTCGGGCCCGTCGCAGCCGCCGCCCGCCGGGGACTCCTCGCACGCCCGGGTCCGGAACTGCCGCCCGCTGCCGCAACTCACGCTGCACGTGCTCCACGCCGACCACGAGCGCCACCTGCCGGCAGCTGTTGGAACGACAGGGAAGCCATGTTCTTTAGCATCGTTCGACACAGAGATGCATAGAATACAAGGTCACAGGTAAGGGAAGAAGTGGTAATTATTGGGGACGATGGTTGTTGTTGAAGACGGCGGTCAGGAACGTGTACACAGTGAAAATTGGGGGGGGGGAGGGTTAAGTCATCTAACAGTACAGGTGCTCAGGGCCACAGGACAACGGGTAGGAAATATCGATGGTGGATGGTGTCAGGTTGGGGTTGGGGTGTCGGTCCGGGTGGCGTACGTCTTTACAATGGAAATCGGGGATGGGGTGATCAAAGGGTTGCGTTGGGAATGGGAGTAGGTCAGAAACGCTTTAAAATGAAAATTGGAGAGGTGGGGGAATGGACGAAATCAACGTGCCAGTTATGAATTTCACTTTATATTTTACGTGTTAAATTGTTCTTTTAACTTCACATAAATCACTTTCTGTTGTTGGCAACAAATTATGGCTTCACTGGAGAAATCAAAACGTGTTTTTCAGCATATTTTGCAAAAAAAGTGCCGCATTTAGTTTCGTAAAGTGTAGGCCCGACCAGCACCTGGGCACTGGACCGGTATCTCGCAGGTCCGGTTCATGGTGTATGGTCCCTCGCAGGGCGCCCCGGCCGGAGCCAGCTCACAGTACCGCGTCCTGCGCTGCACCCCGCCGCCGCAGGTGGCGCTGCACGCCGTCCAGACCGACCACGGGCTCCACAGGCCCTTTTCTGGACATACAAGGTTTTCACTATCAGTGTCACTGACGAAAGGTAGCGGACGCTACCTGAAACGTCTGACCGTTTCCAAATCATCGAGTTGCTTGAGTAACTGTTTTTTGCGTATCTTATTACCTGGATGTCCCTCACCGACGTACAAGGTTTCGAGTTTGGCGGGCTGTCTCACCCCAATAACAGTACAATTCATGAATCGCTGTATATGTATCTTAAGTTCAAAACTGCGTCTACTCTACGTACCATTGCACGGTGCGTGGTGGCCATTGACAGAAACATTATCGGCACATTAAAGATCACACATGTTCATCAAGCTATGGGCAATCAAGAATTCTAAAAAAAACATTTTCAATGCTTAAGGGCCACTGCGTCTAAAGTTTCACACTTTCTTTACACTGCAGTTTCATTATCGTAAGCATGACGTGTGATATGAGAGAGATATTTCACATTTAATTTACATCTAAGTGTTTAAGACTACATCTTCCTACTTTTGAATGGCCTATGGTATAAAGTCCACCTACCTTTGCACGTGCCCAGGTTGCAAGGTTGTATCTCGGTGTCCTGTCCTGCACAGATGTCGCCCGGTGTCGCTTCCAAACAGGTCCGCGTTCGGACCTGCTCCCCCTCCCCGCACGTCGCGCTGCAGGTGGACCAGTCCGTCCACTCCGACCAATGGGCTGTGGGGAAAGGAAAAGGAGTGCTGACGTCAACTACTACGTCATTTAGCTGCAAGCTGGCCACATATATACGTAGCTTGAGCATTCTCGGGCCAGTCTTGCATATGTCCATAGTTATTAAAAAGGCTAGCTGTCATTAATTAGATCCTTTTGGCGATTTGTTAAAAAAAGTCTGCGACATCAGAATCGTACGTACGGCGCCCAATAATACGACGAGTATGACCACGCCTTTACATTATGACGTGAACTTACAATGCATGCAACATCTAATGCAACGGTAAAATATTTCTAAAATAATCACTTCTAGTTCTATTCTGTCGAATTGATGATGAGTCTTGCATATGCTGCCCCTAGGCACTTATAAGTACCTTTCTTGAAAAAAGCTTAAGGTATAAGATGTACCAAGCAAATTGTTTATTGTTTACTAAGAAACTAAAACCCTTTTCACCCTCACAGCTGAGTTATGGTACAATCACTAATAAATTTTTACATCTAAAATTGCCTTAATTTAAGGTAACTACCACATTTTAAGAACGTGATTGATTTCATTATTTCTATAGTAGAATGCCTAATAGATTTTGTATTTTTTTGGGGGGGGGGATTTGGTACCTTTCAGTTTTGGATCGCAACTCTGCGTGTTGCAGTCCTCGTCCTCGTAGTTGACTCCCGGACAGGAGACCCCTTCACCCCTCGGCTCGGGCGAATCACACTTCCGCCGACGGACCCGGTATCCTCCGCCGCAGGTCGCGCTGCAATCCGACCAGTCGTCCCACTTGCCCCACTGCCCATCGACTATGAAAAAAAAAATTTAAAGATAAAAAAACGTGGTCTCAGTACCACTGGTGGAGCTTCAGGCATAAAACCTCTGAGCGTTTAAGAACCCAAGACACTTCATACCGAGTGGGGTACTGGCTGAAAACGCGAGCCATGTATTGTAACACTAGCTGCATCCTCAATATCAGCGACACTGCAGCCCAGCCGGCCTTCAGCATATATGCATGCTGACTCATCAGCCTAATAGTTGATCCCGAATATACATTTTCAAGACCTAAGTCGGAAGATTGTCAAAGCATGAAACGCAATACTCGCAAGTGTTGTTATTTGCAGGATCATGAGTTATCACCAAAAAAGATTTCCGTTTCAAGCCATCGCTGTGACATGCTTGTATGCTGTGGTCTAAACACTATACAATCTAAAGACTATACAATCCACTGCCTCTGCGGCCCTAAAAAGGCTATGGGGTTACCTTTACCCTTTTCACAATCCCTGAAACGCTGTAAATGTACGTACCGTGACAAGCCTGCATGCTGCAGCGCCAGTGCCCTAGACGCAATGGATCATCGACCTACTGCCCCCACGGTCTCAAAAAGGCTATGGGACTACCTTAACCTATCTACCACGCCAGAAACGTTGTACGTACCGTGACATGCCTGCATGCTGCAGCGCCTGAACTGCTGACCGGTGCCCTCGCAGTCCCGCCCGCCGTGGTCGGGTACGGGCGAGTCGCAGGTCCGGGATCGGGACTGGGTCCCGCCACCACAGCTCACCGTGCACACCGTCCAGTTGGACCACGTGCTCCACCCGCCGTCAACTGAAGAGGACGGTAGATTAGTTGCCATCGTTTTGTGTTTAATATCAATAAGCTACAGAAACATTGGTTTAGTAGTGAATCTGTAATTTTTTAAGCATTTGGAGTGGTTTTGAAAGTCTTTTTTAGTCATTATTGTGAATATCTCACTGATTCTGTCTATGTTAGGGCTGCGGACCGGTACACTGTACCGGTCCAATACCGTAAAAATCGTTTCGGTACAGGTCCAAAATACCGGATCTTGAAGTAACGAGTATATACCGAAATAGCTAGTTTACACCATGTATATGACTAAAGATAGGTAAATCCTACCACAAAGACGAACAATTAGCACTGAAAAAGACGTTAACACCGTCGATTGATTTGAGATCCTCAGTCTCACGAGACATCGCGAGAGTGTGGCTGATCCAGGGTTGTGATAGTTTAACTTAGTTATGTTTGATGTTTTCTGAATAAAGATACTGACAAGTTGTCAACACTTTATTATTGTTTCTGTGTCATGATTGAAAAAGTGAAGAACACATGTTAATTTGTCAAATTGTTCAGGTACAGGTACAGGTCCGGACCTGTACCTAAACCTCTGTACCGGTACCTGTACCTGTACCTGATGTTACGTTTAGGTACGCAGCCCTAGTCTATGTATATAATTTCTACTTTAGGGTCTTAATTGAGAGGTGTCTTAACAAACAGACTTGATAGTCCTTCTCAATCGAAGATGACTGTCAGTACCAGTGTTCTCATTTACGGTGTTCTCATATGACCTCATGTGGCTTCTAAGTCTAAAACCTAATGCAGTCGTCCACACTTCAGGCATCGGTGATCATTATCTTAAGTACCAAACTGGGGTTAACATCCTAGCCTACCGGGCTGTGGACACTGCCCGCTGGAGCAGGGCTGTATCTCCATGTCCACCCCCTGGCAGTCCTGTCCGCCGGCGGAGGGAGCGGGGCTGTCGCACAGACGCTTCCGCCGCATGCTGCCGAGTCCGCACGTGTGCGAGCACTCAGACCACTCCGTCCACTCGCCCCAACCACCGGAAACTGTTAGAAGTGTTAAAATCATCGAAGTTAAGTTCATCCTGTCGTTACTGGATCGTCCACTCGCCCCAACCACGCACCGGACAATGTTGAAACGCTAAGAATGTCAAGCTTTCATGTACGTAGTCCTTTCACGATCATGGAGAGTCTACATGGTCATTTCCACACTTTCCACTCGCCCCAACTGTGCTGTGTTGTCATTACTTTATATTCTGGGTTAGGCGAGGCTATCTTCTTTATGTACAACTGTACACCAATCCTTATCTGTTGTTCATACATTTCTTGAGTGTCTTGAAGAGTAGCTTGTCTTGGTCACTGTCCTAGTCAGACCTCTGCCCATGTCAACACCACTGTAGTCAGAGGTTTAATGAGGTCTGTTAGTTTACGTTAGCCGAATTTATTGGATGTTTCTATTTCTATTTCTAAGCTTCCTCTTTAAGAAAACAGCACAAGAACAGGTGTGCATACCCGGACATGTCGGTCCGCTGCACCTGACGACTTGTACGGCGTCGCCCGTGCAGTTCCTGCCGCCGTACCGGGGCCGCGGGTGGTCACACTGCCGGGACCGCCTCCGCTGGCCCTCCGCGCACGTCACGTCACACGGGCTCCAGTTGGACCACGGGCTCCACCCGCCGTCAACTGCGGGTAAAAAAAATAAAACGCTTTATATGTTACAGGCTAGTTCACCCTAATATTTGTTAAGTTATAGACTCTTGCTTTATCCTTGTTCTACTTAAAGAATCTCATTCAAATCTAAGACAGGAATTGAAAGATTTCAGTTTTAGGTTTAGTTTTCCTGACCTTTACGGTCTCCAAATTTGCTGTACATGTGTCTGATGACCGTTGGGCCTGTCATTCTGCTTGTCCACCCACGTGCTGTCAGCCTACTCTCAAGTTTTCTCCAATTTCCCGTGTTTGAACTTTTGACAACCTGTCATTCTGCCTGTTAATCTTCCCCACCCATGTGCTCTCAATTTCACTCCATTTCCTGTGTCTGACCTTTTAATAGTCTGCCTGTTGGTCTTCCCCGACCCACCTACTATGTCCGGACAAGCATACACACAAACCCACAGCTCAGCCACCCAAAACCTTCCGAACACGTACAACACTTCATATGTAGAAGATAGTATATGTAGAAGATAGTAGACTATCAATACCGACTTCTAAACAATCAGACTTGAAAGTCAGAGGTACACTACCAGGCTTTTCGACCTAGTTTGACTGTATGCACCGTACAAGCATACACAGAAACCCTCAGCTCTGCCACCCAAAACAGTACTTCAGAGTTTACTTACTCGGACAAGGTGACGCGCAGCTCCAAGCATCCATGTCCTGCCCCTCACAGTCCTTGCCGCCATTTTGGGGAGGGGGGTTGTCGCACTTCCTGGTGCGCTTGCGCGTGCCGATGCCGCAGGTGTGGCTGCACTCTGTCCACTCAGTCCAATCACCCCAACCGCCGTCAACTACGGGGGGGGTGCAGATGGGGTATATGGAAAGTCGTTATTTCCAGTTGGAACACTGAGTGCAATAAACTACATGAGTCAGCACCAGGGTATTTTGAGCTTCCAAGACATGGCCATTCGACGCATAGCCTCCTTTGCAGGCGTTCTGGAATAGGCGCTTGTTTACTGATCAAACGTAGATCACAAGAATTAGGACCTCCACCTGCCAACCTTAGCATGCTATGCGTCGACGCTGATTTTTAAAATGGTGAATGTTTAAGACCAAGGACCATGTCTTGGAAGCTTATATTATAAGAGGTAAAAGGAGGTCGGTATATCAGTGAGTCGGCACAGTCCGTTATCATGGCGTGACGTCTGTAGAGTCCTCGAAAAAAAAAAACACGACGTCCGAAGACTTCAATAGGACTAAGTTGATGATGATGTTGATATTCTGTGGCCGTGGCAAGATTAATACCTGGTGCGAAGACCTCAGGTCGTGGGTATTGATGCAGTATTACGCCTCAAAAAACGTCCACCGGGTACGTCAAAATTGGTCTTCTGTACAGTAAATCTGTCATCGTGTACATAGTCCCTTATAGTTTACTGCTTTACACATAAGCCATGCAAGCTATTCTCATTATGTTTATATTGCTTTATGGTGATCTGATATTATTATTTTTACTGAAACCATTATTGTTATGGTAACGATTAGAATTATGCACGCAAACTTTATTTAAAAAAGCATTTTAATCAATAAGAATTGAGTTAAGCGTTTTGCTTTTAAATTGTTTTTAAAAATTGTAAAATTTTGCTGTCCCCACTTGGAGGTAGGCACGACCCAGCGTCGCATTTCTCCTCGTCCTCAGCTGACCCCCAGCATCCGTTTCCGGTCGGGTCCTTGCACTTCCGGAAGCGGAAACGCACGCCGACTCCGCAAGAGACGCTGCACTTCTCCCAGGGCGACCAGTCCTCCCAGTTACTCCTGTCACGGTCTTCTGGTGACAACATGGGGGGGGGGGGCTACTTGTCAGAGATTGTTAGAAAAAAACTTTCCGAACCCTTTCCTGCATTTTACATGTGATGTTCTACTTTAAGTCCAATTGGATGTTTATTTCATAAATATTTCGTTCTTTTCTTTAATTCACATCTTATTTGCTGTCCCTTGTATTAAGTTTATCTAAAACATATTGTTAGAACTTAGATTAGTTAGATTTTTAAAAGAAATGTTCCGAACCGTCTCTTCCATTTGTATGTTTTTAATTTGTTACGGTTTTTCTTGTTTGTTTTTTTATCAATCTTTATATAATTTCATGTCATTTTATTTTTAAATCAAATTATATTCCTTTGTTTATTTTATCTTACATCATTATATTTTGCTTCTCATGTTAATGTTGACGAAGACTAACCAGGATGGCCATCGACAACTATATAGCTAGGAATTTCTTTTCAAATTTGTTATGATGATCAAAGACATAATTCTTTTTATATTACATCGGGAAAAGGCTTATCGATATCGTAATAACACAATGCCTAGTTGCCCATTGGTAGTCCCGTATCAACCTGTTAATAATCTCCAAGCAGATCATACGGTGGCAAGACAGTGTCCATTGAGTGTCCATTAGCCACGTACACACACCTCTGGCTAATGGGTACTGTCTTGCCACCGAAAGGAATCTGCTTGGGGATTACCTGTTAACTCTAGAAGGTTTATCTAATGTTTGGTAAGGCACTCCCTACCTCTGCTGCAGCGTTGGGCGTTACATCCCCTCTTCTGACTCCCCTCTCCGTCACACACGTCTGCCTGTCTCCCCGTGTCCGGGTCTGCGCATGTGCGGGTTCTCTGCTGGATCCCCTTTCCGCAGGTCTTCGTGCAGGTCGTCCAGTCGGACCACTTCGTCCAGGTGAATTCTGTTGGGGGGGGGGAGGAAAACATGTCTTTAGTCTTGCAACCAAACATCTCACATGATGCGAAGACTTCATTCATGGCATCAGAATTGAACCACATTGGTGCGGGGTGTGATACAGAAGTTGGTTGGATTGAACGTTGAGTGTGTTGTACAAACGTTATTTTACAACTGTTGCTGCTGCTGCATGATTTGAAGAGATCTCAGTAAAACCTTGTAGTTGAATGTTTGGCTTCGTAGTTGGTAAGTCGACAACCTCCCCAGCTCTAGGAACTGTTGACATGGGTGGGCAGCATCTCTCATCACCCTTCTGAGTTCACATACAGCTGTTTCACATCTACGTAACTCCAAAGTTCGCAAATGCTCCAACACAACGATCCTGGAGCAGGTTTTCTGGCCTTTCTAAAAAAGCAAAGCTACATACAGGTAACAAGAGTTACGGGGTCGTGTGGCGTAGAGGCAGAGTGCTCGACTCGGAACCAAGAGGTCCCGGGTTCGAGTCCTGACATGCCACCGATCTTGTGCCCTTGGGAAAGGCGCTTTACACGACTTTCCTCACTTCACTCAGGTGGAAATGAGTACCTAGCTTCGGTTAGGGACGTCCCTCGGATAGGCCGTTAAATGAAGGCCCCGTGTTTGGGGAGAGCCACACACCTCGCACGTTAAAGAACCCACCGCACTTATTGAAAAGAGTAGGTATCCTTCTTTCAAGAGGTCAAGAGGTCACAGAACTCACGTCTGCAGTCCGTGTGGCAGTCTCTCTCCTCCGTGTCCCGTCCTGCACAGCCTCCATCCGGGCACTTCCGCGTCCGGATCAGCATGCCTTTCCCACACGTCACGCTGCAGTCAGACCACTCCGACCAATCAGACCACTTGCCTGCAATTTCAAATCAACATATTAGATATACGGTACAATTTTCTCTTCTTCCATGGAGTCGCACACCTCAACTGGTCTGTCACAAATCCTGCAAGTAATACAACAATACAGTATACCATGTCTACAGCAAGTACAATGGAGAAAACGTCCACCATAATATTTATTACTCTTTCATGAATGATATATGCATGATTTATCAGCACAGAGCCCTTGAGGCCAAAAGGATGGACTGTATACTAGTACTTAATTCAAAAGCGACTCCCATCAACTTTACCCAGACAGAACACTCTAAGAAGTTAGCCTCCTTCGCAGACTTGTAGGGCGGCGGTGTTACAGTCTCTCCCCGGCAAAACTCCCTCGGCGGCAAAATTGTCCCTCCGCTGAATAACTCGCGTCGCTCACCGAGTTATACAATGTTGCTCTTAGAATTACAGTTTTGGCTATGCGACGAATTAATTATGATTATACAGTAAGTAGCGTTGCTCCTGAAAACAATCTCAAATACAACCGGAAGTACGTCACGAACATACTTGGTGCGTCATTTCCTTCAGGACAGGGGTCCCTCTTGCAGACACGGAGGTCCTCGTACGAGCCCGAGCAGTTCTTCCCGCCATGCATCGGGAGCGGGGAGTCGCAGGCCCTCAGGCGGATCTGGGTGCCTATGCCGCACGTGGCGGTGCAGACAAGCCACTGGGACCAGCTGGACCAGCCTCCGTCAACTGGGGAAACATAGGAAAACACAATGGTTATTTAGGATGAAGGAAAACACAATGGTCAGTTCTGGATGCCTATGCCGCAGGTGGCCGTGCACACCAGCCACTGGGACCGGGAACACAGGAAAACACAATGGTCAGTTCTGGGTGCCTATGCCGCACGTGGCCGTGCACACCAGCCACTGGGATCAACTGGACCAGCCACCGTCAACTGGGAAAATATAGGAAATACACTTGATAAAGAAAAACACAATGGTCAGTTCTGGGTGCCTATGCCGCACGTGGCCGTGCACACCAGCCACTGGGACCGAGAACACAGGAAAACACAATGGTCAGTTCTGGGTGCCTATGCCGCAGGTGGCCGTGAACACCAGCCACTGGAACCATCTGGACCAGCCACCGTCAACTGGGGAAACATAGGAAGTCACAATAGTCAGTTGGGATTTGTCATTTTGTTGTTGTTTTTGTCGGCGTAAAAAAAAACACTGCAAAAAAGAAGACCTAAAAAAACCCGAAACTCTGCTTGGAGAGTAATGGCACACGTCTTACCTGGACACAGCCCTTCGTCGCAGGGTGCCTCCTCGGTGTCTCTCCCTTCGCACGCCGTGCCTCCGTTCCGCGGTGCCGGTGTGTTACAGTCCCGGGCCCGCGCCTTCACCCCGCGTCCGCACGTCACGCTGCAGTCCGTCCAGTTGGACCACTTACTCCAACCTCCGTGTACTAAGCAATGAAGCAGAGAAGAGAATACAAGGCAAAAAGGAAGGATTGTCATCTCATGTTGAAAGTTTATGTTGGTAGAAGCAAGTTTAAACTGTAATTTCCAACACACGAAATTGGACATACCTAACTTTTCGACTCTACAACACCAGCCTTGAATTTGCATTTCCTTGACAAAAATGGAGTTGTACAGTCGAAAATGTCGAAATAGTCCAGTTTCTTCTACTGGAAATTACAGTTTGAACTTGCTTCACGGTGACTGCAACCTCGGTTTCGTATAATGAGTTTGAAAAATACCAGCAACTTTAGATAATCACGAACCCGAGCCCCAGCTGTCATTGTTGGATTTCTATTGGGCACAATATCGTCTTAGCCTGGTATCCAAACCTATTATAGCTGAGTGGCCAAAAAGGACCCCGCATCTATAATTTGTTTGTAGACCAGGCTAATTCTGTATTGCCATGTGAAATTCATCACTATTGAGGAGAATACCCTACTATCTGTACAAATGTAGGGATGATGGCTAATCTAACGCTTGTAATTTTTGTGGTCAAAGTGAGACACTTATCCCTGCAAAACCGTCATTCTCTTTGTCTGAGTTTTCGTGACAACTGGCTAGGTACCCACGATATAATGAAAAATGTTAGTCAAATGTATTTACCTTGAATCCTCTATCTCGACGTTAGCCGTGGAAATGAACAGGTTAATAAAATACATTTTTGTACAAGTAGTTAAGAATCGTATTGTGTAGTCTGATGTATGTAGCAATAATGTCTTGGCAACACAGAGAATTAACGTACAGCAAAGCAGATTACTATTTGTAATTATATCATGGTCAAACGTGTCAATCATCATATATCGCAACATCATTTAATTATAAATAGCCTCGTGTTAAAATGACTGCAAGAAGCATACAACGAGAGGCTTGGGGAAAATACATGTAGCCAGGAGACCGAAGGAGAACAAAGGGTCACTCGACGAAGACGACGAACAACAGAAATTGTTCTCAAGTTCAAAAGTGTACTCTACTTTGGGTTGTTGGGGACTGATGAGTGCGAAGTATTGTCAGGGGCCTCATCGTGTTGGATTCATACCATTGCCATATGACAGTTGGCAGGCATGTCTTTAAGAGGCCTTTCATAAATGTTTGAGGCCAGCCCCAAAGGCTAACATTTACAAAAACCTGACAGGTGCTGTGAGTGTGGCTTGGTGAGATGAGTGCATGGACATGAAAATGTGGTGCTTCCAGTGCCAGGACAACACACACACACACACACGCGCACACACAAACAGACAAGACTGCGAGAGGGATAGCCAAGAAAAGAGAGATTGCCGAAAATCCAGGAAGAGCTGATCGAGGGTAGACAATTTACCGGGACAGCCTTCCGGGACGCAATCCTTTTTCTCCCGTCCGTCTCCCACGCAAGCCGCGACCATCCATCCCTCGAGGGGCGAGTTCTCCTTGGGCTTACACCGGCGTGTGCGGTACTGCTTCCCAAGGCCGCAGGGCCCGCGGCACGTGGACCACATGGACCATTCTACCCAGGTGCCACTGGCTAGAAGGAAGCGCCGAAGCAAGTCGTCATGAAGCGGTGAGGAGCAACCAAGAGGAGAGACATCAGACGCCGCAGGACTTTACTTAAGTCTCGGGCTGAAGTTGCGACGGGCATGCAGCAGAATTTCCTCTCCTGTTTTTTTTTTTGGTTAGATCTTGAGTTGTAGATACAAAAGTCCCTGTCCTTTTTGTTGTGTCAATAAAGAATCGGTTTCGGGACCGATTGCACAAACCAAGATTGCAATGTTTCATTGCCAAAAATAACACATTTTCCAGTCCTTTTTGAAAATGCAAAAAAATTCCTTACGATTCCAACGTTTTACATGATCGCCAACTCCAAATGAATTCTAGGGTTTCAATTTTGTAGGAATGAAGACAATTTATGTTTTCGAGAGGTGTGCTACTAGGAGATTATAATGCATTAGCCTAAATAAATTTACAATGCTTTGGCGAAGTTAGTTTTTTTCCTTATTGAAATGGAAGATATTTGGAAATCCTTGCTGCATGATAATCGCAACTTGCCAAGACATCCTGCAGCGTCTGATATCCTCAGTTATAGAATATCACTTCCCTGACGCCTTGTGCAGAGCGGGAAGGGGGTTGCTACGTGCAGCGGGGTGGGAGAGACGCGTTTTTTTAATCCTTAAGCCGATGTATAAGGTTCCGACTCATTCTCAATGTCTATTTTACAACACTTTTAGAACCCCTTTTTTGTATTCCAACATGTAATCACAAGACGTGGTGACGGCACACTCAAGTTTTCTCAACTTATATTAATGCCACCACCAACACAGGGGACAATATAATACTCATTTTCACCTGAGCGAAGTGAGGAAAGTCGTGTAAAGTGCCTTTAGCTTTCCCAAGGGCACAAGATCGGTGGCATGTCAGGACTCGATCCCGGGACCTCTTGGTGCCGAGTCGAGAGCTCTGCTGTTACGCTACACGACCCCACCCTTTTAGAACCCCTTCCTTGTGACCGTTAAATATGCAATACTATGCAGACAATAATATGCAGACGTAAAAACTTAGACTGAGCCGGATCATACATCTGCTTAGAGATTAGTGCTTGCTAATATGTGCGTGTTAGATTTTAATGACTTTTTTTTGCAGCGTGCGCGTGTTGAACACTAATGCGATAGATGGTGCATAAAATGTGCAAAGATTTCTACAGGAGTGTACAGGGGTGTGGACGGACAGTGCGTGGTGCATGGAGTGGTTTGAAATTAACTACAAACTATGTTTCTTGATTCGGACCAGCAGAGAGATTGGAGTTGTGAAAGTTTTTCGTGGTTTGGTTAGGACAAGAGAGGGACATATAGAGCCTGCAGATTGGGACAATCGTCATGGAAAGTACTAAAAAAGGGGCAAGAAGTATCCAATATGACAGCCCATTGTACAATGGTATTGTTTTGGCAACACATTTTCGTTTAGTTTTTTAATTTTAAATATGCGATGCGCTGAAGACGATCTCTGGACTGTCGTGTTGGATATGGCAGTTCAATCAGGTACTGTGACAGTATCTGAAAGCAACGGTCGCTGCTGGGCCATGGGAAGCCATATTCGTCCAACTGTTGCTAAGAACACCATCGTCTTAAACTATTTGACCACATCTATAGCGTCACTTTGGTTAACTACCATAGCTGCAGATGCGAGACCCAGTAAGAATTTGCCTGCAGCCAAGGGCCCCGGGGCAACGTAATGGGGCCGGCTCCTCCTACAATATTTACAGTGCTAACGCAGCGGTCAGTACAAATCGCAGGCACCAGGGGGCCATTACGGCTCTTGGTGGCAAATATGCAGATGTTGGCACATTGGCGCACCCTATCCGTAGTGTGTTTTGGCACACATTTAGACAGATAGCGAATGGGGTTCAGTGGGCGTCACTCCATCGTCAAGGAAGGGAAGGTAGTGTAAAATGTCTTTCCCAAGGGCACAACGTCGAGACATGGTGAGTATCGAACCCGAACGAGTCCAACATTCTAACCGTCGCGCCACCGACGCCTCCAAAGCTCTGTTTGGCCACTCTTTCCAAATGTGTGCCAAAAACACACTACGGATGTGGTGCGCCAATGTACCAGGGCCATTACCTGAGTGTCAGCCTTCTTGGCTTTCGTCCGCTCCCCACGATCCGCTACGATGGCCCTGTAGCGGATCGTGGGGAGATGACGAAAGCTAAAAAGGCTCACTCTCAGGCTATCAGGGCCATTGCCTAACGTATACAATTGGTGGGCTTGGCTATAGATGATGTGATGACAGTAATATGCTGTAACAGGAAGAAGAGAAGTCTACCTCCGTCGTCGCAGGGCTCGACGCTGCTGCAGACCTTGATCTCCTGGCTGGATCCCTCGCACGGCTTGCCCGTCTGCTGCGGGGCGGGGTTGTCACAGGAGCGGGTGCGCTCCCGGGTACCCTCCCCGCACGTCACGCTGCAGCCCGACCACTCCGACCAACCGCCCCAGTTACCGTCCGCTAACGGAATAAAAAGACAAAAGGAGTGACCATCAAGCAACTTTTCCCATAAGTGTAGACTAAACTCACGTCATATACCATAGTTTTGTGAGGTATTGCGACATGTGATTTGTTGTCCAAGGAATGTATTGCTGTGTGTCTAGTTTGCACAGTATTGGCACAATATAGTACTGGACTGACGGGCTGTTTCTTACCAGCACAGAAGGTAGTTTCACATTCGTCCTCCTCTTGTAGAAACCCGTCACACCCCTCCACACTGTTACACTCCCGGGACCGGTACCTACGCACAAGGACATATCATTTTGTTATCACATCAGGCTACGTTCAATGTAACATTGTAATCATCTCACATTTGGTCTACTGTTACAATCACCAGGATAAGAATTAGTTAACTGTTCATGTTACATCACTGTCCTTGCCACATGTGTGTTTCCTTGGACCTAACTCTCTACGTTTCTACTACATGTATGTGTCTCAGGTCGATGTACTTGAAAGTAGCATACAAGTAAACTTTCATAATGATAAACCCGAAATTGTAATAGAGAATAGTTCTGATAGCATTGGCATATATTGATAACCCAAAAAGAGAATGCAGAAAGGGACCCTACAAACTTTGGGAACTTGAAATCCACCTTGCCATAAAGGCATAGTTGTTATGCAGTAATTGTTGTAAACCCACCTGTATCCCTGCTGTTCGGTGCACTTCCTGATGCAGCCAGTCCAGGGCGACCACTCTCCCCACCCGGACTGGAAAAACTCCGTACTCGTGCCTGTCGTGAACCCGTCTTCCCTCTCAGCGTAGCCAGATCCCTCTAGCTCTGCAAAGTCTGGTGTATATGGAATAGGCATAAGTTATACGCCAGACCTTTTATACACAAAAGGCAAGGTTAACGTTAATCTAGAAATTAAGATAAAGCCCAACGGTCTGAAACTAAGAAACAGAAATACTGTTTGAATTGGCGATGATACTAAAAAAAGTAAACTGACAAACACTGTAGACAACTCGGAATGATGTGTAGAAAATCAACAGATTCGGGAACATAAAGTATAAGAGTACCTTCTTGATGTCTTCCACCGTCTCCTGACGCCTCTTCTTCGTTCACAAATTCACCTGGAATTTAGATTTGAATATCACAAAACAAAACAAAACAAAATAATTAGCTTTATAGTTTTAGCTCCACATCCACTCTATACAAACACATCCAAGCTTAAACGTATGAGAATTTTTCATTGAAGCCATGTATAGGACCGCATCTTTCCCACTATACACTACAGCGACACCTAGCTGCAGTGCTAAGTAGAATCAGTCAGTATTGCCTAGAGTAAGGTAGCAGAATGTGTATAAAAGCATTTGAAGCTGAAAAAGCTTGGTTTTGCAAGAATAACCTTGTCAATAACGAATGAAAGACCTTTATTGTACGTTTATGTTCTACATGTACGTTCTTATAGACTAAACGCAGGTGATAGTGAAAGCAGAAGTAAAACTAATAATTATAATTGGTTTATCACGTGTGAACAACTGTTAGTTTTGGATATCAAAAGAGCTCACGTGGACACTCTCTCCTGTTGCAGCGCTTGGTCTCTTGCCGGAGCCCGCCGCAGTGCTCCATGTTGACGCAGACGCTGGTCCGCTTCTGTATGCCCCGCCCACAAGTCACGCTACAGGACGACCAACGACTCCACCTTGCGGGAGAAGTAAACAATTCAGCAATGTATGTCAAACTAAACATTTCCAAAGAATTGTCAAAGTTTCCCAATAGCAGGAAATCTTAACAGCACATTGTATGCCCCGTCCGCACGTCACGCTGGAGGACGACCAGCGGCTCCACCTAGCGGCAGAAGTAAATAGTTCAACAAATTAACTTCAAAACATTTTCAAGGAATTCTCAAGGTTTAAAAAAAATTGAAGTAGTTTTAAAAAGCTCTAGTTTCTTTTGCATTCTTCTATTTTAAGATTACTAAAAAAAGGAATCTCAAAATCGATCCAAGCTATATTCGAAAGCATGAAATCACACACCACCCTGTATGTTAGTGAATAAAATCATTTAAAGACATCTACACAGTGGCGGTGTTAAGTGGTAAGTATAATTACATTTGAATATCTTAATTTCGCAGGGTGTAGGGTGAATTAAAACATTGTGAAGTAAATACAATGGATTGCCTCATCATACCACCTCCATGAAGGCAATTACGAGAACGCAATGAGGGAGACAGAAAGAGTGGCGAATACGAGTAGAGATAGAGAGATGCTTTACCTGTAGGTCTGTGGGCAGGGCCTCTGGATACACTTCATGACCATGGTGTCTGTCCCGTTGCAGGGCAGGCCGCCGTTCCGCGGTGCGGGGTCCGTGCAGGAGCGCGTCCGGGTCTGAGAGCCCGGTCCGCAGGTACGGCTACACGGGGTCCACTTACTCCACTTCGTCCAGCCGCCGTCAACTGACAACACAAGCAACAACATAATATATATTTTTTTATATTCCAACATTTCATGACTAGACATGGTGACCGCACACTCAAGTCAACTTAGTTTATGCCACCACCAACGCAGAGGACGAATACAGGACGAGACAATACTCATTTTCAATTGAGTTAAGTTAAGTTAACAACATATATTATTGTGTGGGTTCGCGACAGAGCGCCCGGCTCGGAACCAAGAGGTCCGGAGTTCGAATCCTGCCATGCCACCGATCTTGGGAAAAGCAATTTCCTCACTTTACTCAGGTGAAAATGAGTATGTCTGTTGTCTATTCATGCGTGTCTACGTTGGTGGCGGCATAAAATAAGTTGAAAAAAACTTGAGTGTGTCGTCGCCATGTCTTGTAATAAATGCTGGAAAACAACACATATTTTTCCAAGGCTTTATCAAGAATGCATTCAAAGCAATCTAAGGCCCCATTCCCACTAGGATAAAATTGTCCGGATCCAGCCGAATTGACTGCTTTTATCCGGCTTCGATCTGGCTCGAAGCCGGCTTGAAGCCGGATCAAAGCTCGATCCGGACAATTTTATCCTAGTGGGAATGGAGCCTAATCATCAGGCATTTCCCCCACCTGGGCATTTCTCCGGGTTGCAGCTGTCCTCCTCCATGGACGGTCCCTCGCACGGCAGGTTCTCGTTGATGCTGCACTCCCGGGTCCGCTTCCGGTAACCTCCCCCGCAGGTCAGGGTACAGGCGGTCCACGGACCCCACATGCTCCAGCCACTCTCTAATTATAACGGGTTCAATCACATCACGTTTCAAAATGTTAACCTCTTTTCACAATTTGCAAAATGGCCACTGTTTATAACGATATACTTGACCTCTCTTTCTGATTCTGACCCTGACACCTTTAGGTCAGTGACCTGTAAGTTTTCAGACACTCACTACATCTCTCATTTTATCCTTAGATGTGTTTTCTGGGCCTGGAACTTTGGTTCCACAATTTATATTATCCCCAGTATTTAATCTAGCCATTTTCCCAAGGCATTCTGGTCGATCGTTTCTTTCTAGGTTTCAACGACTGCCTCATTGCATGCCGTTCATTATACTATATTGTATGCAATGAACTCCAAGACTCAAATTTACGTCCCTTATGTACTAAATGTGTCTTGTATCACGGTTAGTTGAACTTACCTGGACAGGCTTTCACCAAACATTCGTCCGTCTCCAGGAAGGTACCCTTGCAGGGATCGCCTCCGCCGCTAGGGGGCGGGTTGGAACACTGCCTGGTCCTCACTCTCGCGCCCTTTCCGCAGGTTGCTGTGCAGGACGACCAGGGAGTCCAGAACCCCCAGCCTCCGTGTACTGAAGTTCGCATGGGCAGAAGTTAGAACAGTTATCTTCCTGGTTTGATGTGCTATGGAATCTCATTTACCTCTGAGGCATTCATATTTACATACATAGCTTTGCGTCAAATATAATTATAGAGATTGATAAATCGGTTTCCACAGTAGCCCAACAAAATTAATGGCATTGATCAGTCTTCGAGGCAAAAATTCGAGCCCAACGGCAAAATGACAACGATCTAATAGAACATGACACAGGAAAGCTAAAAATCTATATAATCCTTTGAAGAGAGTTTTAAAAGTGCATATTCAGCACAATCATGTAAAACAGTGACTGAACTGTGCCATTGCATGCAAGCAAACGCAAAGAGATCAATATCACAGTTTAGTTAAACTGTGTCAGTCATCCATATTTTCTGGTGTAGAAGAGAGAACAGTTTCTCACTTGGATCCCGTAAGCTGGCCACTCTGTTGTGCACGTTAGTGACGGAACCCTGCTGGACGGAAGTTCCTCCCACCGTCTCCACCCGACTGTCGCCACCCTCCTCTCCGCCTTCCAGTGACGACGCTGTTGCCCCTCCAGCGTTAGGACGTCTTCTACCTGGAGACAGTTCCGCTAACAATCATTTAGTGCTCGATTGGTCAAATCTCTTCACAAATATATCCTTCAATATGGAATGCAAAATTCAGAAGGCCTCGCTGAAGTTAAGGAACGAAAGGAAACATTGTGTCCGTCTTGGTGTCTTTATACTATCAGTACGTTGTCTCAACGTCATGCAGTTCTATTCTAATTAGCACCATACGTTCTTGCATCAGCCAGTGCAAATGTTGCTAGGTAAGGCACGTTTAGTTGACGGAGAGCAATCGTCCAGTGAAGTTCGGACATGCAAGTCCCAGTCCTTGAACATACGGAATGGTTGCAGGGTGGATGAAAAACACTGCCAGCGGTCCAGGGAATGGTGCACTAATGTGCAAGCGGTCGTCTACTGTGCCATAACAGATCTAGAATCCGGTGCTGGTGCACTGTGATCATGCCGGACAAGACATCTGAATATCAGACGTGAGCCTTTCAGTGACAGATAGAGGACCAATTTTCAGGACGTCATTCATTTTTGCACTAAATCTAGGACTCGCTACTAAAGCCATTGCATTCTGGATGTGGCGTGACAAAAGCTGGTCTACCGTGCGGGGATTTCTAATTTGGTGAAAAAAACATTTGCCCAAAGCTGAAATAAGTGAATCGGCGTGCCTGGGTTTTTGTCTCGCTCACTGTGTGTTGTGAAAGTAATGGGGTAACAGACGTGCCAATGCAGGCCGATCTACTTTGCGGGGAATTGTAATTTGGTGAACAGACATCTGCCCAAAGCTGGAATGAGTGAATCGGCGTGCGTTTCTCTTTTTCTCTGTGTCGCACAGACTGTGTTGAACGCTTTCGAACAAAGTACCTGGGCAGGGGATAGGGTTACAGACGTGTTTATGCACATCCGGACCGAGGCAGGGTTTTCCACCGTTCGTCGGTCGGGGGTTGTCGCATGTCCGTCTGCGGAGGGTCCAGCTTCTCCCGCAGGTCTTGGAACAGCGGCTCCACTCGCCCCACGGGCTCCAGCCCCCGTCAACTTACACAGTCAAACATGTCAGGTACACAGTCAAACTTGTAGTAATCACCACTTGTACAGACTTAAATACATACTACATATACAGTCAAACCTGTACTATGGAACAGCTAGCGGCTCCACTCGCCCCACGGGCTCCAGCCCCCGTCAACTTTTGTCACAGGTTAGCGGGTCATCAGTACAGAGTCAGTTACACAATAAAACCTGTACTTGTACACCTGGCCACTTGTACATATGAATCACGTAGCCATCGATATACAGTAAAGCCTGTTCTAATTTCAATAGCGAAATGTCTTTGAGGGCTATTTCATTAATAACCGTACCTATCTACTTCTAGTAATTCTTCGCCAAAGACGACCACGGCACTAACCTGTAATCACCAGAGCAGTTGAAGGAAAGAACGCCATTTCGGTCTCTTCCATTCAACATCGTATATTCAAAATGACGGTTTTCAAAATCTACACTGCATATCAATCTACAAATGCTAACATCACGCCGATTACAGTAGCACTATGCACGATTAAGGTAAGGACAAAAAACTGCACAGACTGAGTTATCCCGACAGCAGGTGGACGATATCGACTTCTAGTGTTACCTGACATCTCGTCCTTTGCTAGGTCCAACCCTCCTTCCACCGCGGCTCCCTCCACAACCACCACCTCCTGTTGTACCGTCCCGCGTTCCAAACCTGAAGCACACGCCAATGTACACATTGCTGCATAACAGGGCGCGGTCAGATACAACTCACCCTATATCTGACCATATATCTGACCTTAGCCGGGATCTCCCTGTATTTAAGAACCTCTTTCATTGTTATGGTTGAGAGTATTCATGATATCAATGTGCTTGCTTTAAACATAACGTTGAAAACATTTGGATCTGTAAGAAAGGAATCAAAATTATTCAACCAGTAAACTTTCACCTTATAGTCTCCGATAGTTTGGGACGTTTCGCCCGGGAAAGGGGTACGTTCAAAAGAAAGATAACAGCCCTGGTGGGTGCAAGGTACTACAAATGTTTCTCTATATGATCTAAATCTTCAAGCTCTTACAAATTAAAGCGTTTTGAGTACTGTACCCTTTTATTTCAAATAGCAAATCTTTCCCATATTTCAAACCCTCAGACACAAAGTTTGGGGTACATATTTACCTTCAATCTCCGAGAGAAGAGAGTGACTGCCGGGCTTGATTCTGCTCCCAGAGGCTGGCTCCTGTCCGATCCCTTCAATCTCACTCAGGGTCCGCTGCCGGGACCCCGACCCTCCCGTCACAACTTGGACTTCGTCGTTACCTTAGGAATAATGGAAAGGCATCAAACTGTCAGACATCAAATTATGTATGATCGACTTCAACTTCTCCATGAGCGACAGGGTCCAGGTTGAACCTGACGCCCAAAGAGGAGTTGGTGTGTTATACTAGTACAAATGTATATTGTTGGCTTCAACCAATATGCATGTTATTGTTAATGTCTGTAATTGTAGTATTGTATAACGTCGTTTGCAGAAGACCCTACCGGATGTAAGGGCAATGTATTGGCTCCGTTGTTTCTGTGCTACAGTCGTGCGTGCAATCATGAATTATATGCGGTTTTACCCAAACGTCTTCTTGCGTATAGGCAACATGCTGTTTGTACCAGCTTGCCTATTTAGCCTGTAGTTCCCATTGGAAGTTGTATTCAAACCTACCTTGTGGCCGTGGAGGGGCCATTGACACACGTATGGCAGAAATAGCCGGACCACCCCTGAACCGGGTCGGCTTTTTGTGCGGGTTCCGCCGGTCATCTTTGACCGAGGGGGGGAAAGATAAAACGGACAGAATGATATGATCTCAACATTTTTTATTTTATTTTTACCAGCAGTAGAATGCCGCCATGGCCATGAATGAGCGCGTCGTTACGTGGAGGCATTACGAACGGAAACAAGAAGGATTCGCCAGTGATGTTCATCCCTTCATTTCGCTGTTCGAATGGCAATGAGAACGAAAAGATGCACTTGTTTTACTGTGTGAAATGCTGTGTGAAATGTGTTTGTGTGCGGTGTTGTAGTTTCTGGTAGTCTGTCACATGTAAAGATCATCACCATTTAGTCAGTAAACCTGTTACAAGTACATTGTGTGTGACTTGGTAGATGTAAGTTTGTCACATGATGGTTACAAATGTGTAATGTCATAGAAGTATGGCAGTTCCGTGTGTGGCATGTTATAATTTTGTTACATGTGTTACAGCAATCGTTATTGATTGGGCTAGCACATTTTATATTCAAATGAATGATGCATGGGCACATTATAGTCATGCATTAAGACGTTGCCATTGCTTTTATATACTAGTATTACAAAATTAAGAATCAAACATATAGTCATCGTTGACAGGTACAATATAAAATGAAAACGTAATCTCATCCTCCATCAAAATAAACTTATAGCAACGTTAAAGTTTCGTTGAAAAACCTTCCATCCAGTTCTATTACTTTCCCCATGCAGTGTCCGAAATCAAAACTTCATTCTCCCTTGTAATAGTCTTTCAATTCCAAGACTTGAACTGCTCTTTACCGTTTATTAGGTCACATCTAGCCGTTACAATTATCTGCTTTCCACTTGTTTTCTGCTGTTGTTCCCTTTCATTTGTATCCATGGTTTTGTGATCAAGTTTGCTCTAATAATTACCACCTGTTCTTTAACACGTATGTGTTTCACAGTAGAAATGTCCTTAGCCTTCATTACCTTCTGACCCCTGACCTTTGCCCTCCGATGTCCCCCGCAGCAGGTCCATGAAGGTGTTGGCACGTGACCAGACGGAAGTCCCCTCTGCGTGACCGGGGGACGTTTCCTCTGATGATGATGAGACTGTCTTACCGACGGGACGAACTGTGTGAGAAAAGAGAAAAAAGAGAAACACCACCAAACGTTTACTTAAGGTATATCAGTTCTCCATCTAGTATCTCCCTCTAGGTAGCTATCTATCTATCTCGAAAACACACACACACACACAAACATACCCATACACAAACACACACACACAAACACACACACACACACACACACATACACACAGAAGGACACACACACATATACACACAGACGTACAGACACACACACACACACACACACACACACACACACACACGAAAACGTTGAGTTGTTGTCATGAACCTAAGTTTGGCGCTAATACAACAGGACCACACAAGCAGATTTCGAGCATTCTAAACACTACCACAAGTTCAACCATATCAACTATTGCTTACATTTCCACAACTTCAATGCCACAAATGACGCAGGTGGAAATGATTTGTCAAGAGAGCATAACAACAGTTTTTGGCAGCTACCGCATTGCCCAAGGATATATTCATACAAGGGTTATAATGTGCCCAACTCAAAAGTCTATTTCAACGTTATCCTGCATTATTACACTTCCTTAGTCAGACACAACACCCCGGCGCCACTGTTCCGGTCTACGCACAAGGATGAGCCAAGGTTGCCCTAATTTATTAGTAAAGGTTCAAACCAGAGGCAGAACTAACAGAGAACACCTCTCAGAAACAGCGTTCCTTGGCAGAGTCCTGAGGTTGTAAATCAGAAATCCCTCATTTGTGTGGCTTCAAACCGTGGCGTGCTGCAAAACAGGTGTCCCCGCTCTCGTATTTACTGTTTTGAAATACCTGGGGTGCTAAAAACGATGTCAGAGGAGCAAGTTGATACCTATTCATGTGAGCAGCGTGTACATGAGTTGTAATTGTCTCACTTTGCTTCCCTAAGAATTGTCGCTCAACAGGTTGTGTGTCTCTACAGTGATGGGAGGTGTAACGTCTCAATGATGCCCGCCTTTGAATGAGGTCAGTTACCTAGTAGACTACACAATAGTAAATATGACCAAATATTGCACATTCAGTTTACACAATCATAGAAGTTGATATGTGGAAAGGTCCATTCGTATTATGGTCTTCTCTTTCTTTAACTGTTCACAACGGAAGGAGCCATTGAAATTCTGCTGATGTTCGTGCGTGGGAGGTATGAAATGATACCAACAAACAATAGAACAGGGCTCACATATTGCTGACATGTGAGCTTAACCTCGCACTCCCTCTGTTAACAGCAAGCCCCTCCTTGTATTTGGCACAAACTCAGGGTCAAAGCCGTTGCCTCTTGGCGAGGTGCGCGACACGCGAGATCTCTTAAAAGGCTATTCAGAGGGTCCAACACTTCATCATGCTCCTGGTGTTTGACTTTTGTGAGGGTTTGTTTCCGGCAGGGTTCCACGCCAATCTAAATGTTGGGTCGAGCGGTGCCAACTTCCTCAAGATACAATGACGGTGTTTAAATCAGGGCGAAGACAGTTAGTCAAGGTCCTTGACTCGGTGACTCTGGAGTCTCCTTTAGCTGTACATTGTACAGTGGAGTCTATGTTTCTTTACAGTTTTAGAGTGTTAGATGGCAAAAAATAGAATAATAAATGTTTCTGTGTGAGTGGGAGGGTGAGGAGAATAAGTCAATACCCCTTGACTCTGCAATCGTTTCTATGTTCTTGTTATATGGGATTTTCTCGTATGGAAGTGCTGAAAAAAATTGGGTCCCCTAGCGGATTCCATTCGAGCTACAGGTGACGACCACGTAAATCCTACAAAGAATTCTTTGCAACTCTGGTGGAAATTTGTGCTCCTGGAGCCATTTTTTTTAATTAACAAATATCTTTATTAGTACAATAGAAATATACTTACTCATGATCAACTCTCTTTAACTGAATGTAGGGCAAAGGGACCAAGGTACAAGGTACAAGGGCACATAATGTCCACATAGTGATGGGCTTGACACGTCAGGGCATATTCTTTTCATGTCTAAACATGCCCCCGACAAGGCAATCTGATGAGATACAGTACAAACGCGGCATGAACAGGTATGTGGGACATGTCAGACCTGCTCACGGACACCATCTGTACAGCGACCTTCCCCGTAGCGACTGACAAGACTGATGCACACTTTTATCAATGTCTTACAGGCACCTGTCCAGATGTTATGTATTCTCACGCCTTCTGTGGAACCGCCACACGTAAGAACCGAATGAGAAACAGATAAGACATTCCAAAGTGAACACATTTACAAATCGCTCACGTTGTTTCCAACCTATAGCTTATTTCCGGGATATTTGTCTCAGGTTTTGCATCGTTACCAGCATTCAATGACAACCAATTGTTGATTTCTATCCAGCGGTCAATCTCGCAAGCGATGCCCAAAAATACTGTACTGTACAGGTAAACCTAGAGTTAAAGGAGAAGTGGGTCTACTACCTTCTTGGATATCAACCTGTTTACGTGCTACAAACGTAGAAAGAAGATATGCTTGCATAGCAAGCACGTAATGTAGCCTCCGTAGCAGGCTTATAGAACTGGGGGTTTGGTGGTCTTCGGCTGTTTTCTGATTAGCCCAGTTCAACCAGGCCGGCTATGCTGTCTATATGCAATCAGAAAATAGCACATAAAAGATCCCAAAGACCCTGAAGACCCCCAAACCCCCAGTTTTTGGCCTGCTATGGAGACTACACGTAATGCACCTTTTTTTGCAGAGCAATGAAAAGCGACCTGCAGGTCGATTTGCGCTTCTGATGAATAACGTATGTCAAACAAACAACCATGATACACCATGCGAATCATGGGTGATTGTTTACAGTCGATGCCATTACGAATCAACCCTCTTACTCCGACAGCAGTAGATCTGATGTCCCTTGTCATGTCGTACGTGGTGAAACGCTCGTTTTTGGACCATGACTCCGCCTCAGGTTAACAAGGGTTAAGTTACACCGCACAGTCCGGCCTCAGGGTGATACTGATTAGGTGTAATGGGTTTAACATTGTTGATGGACGATTCTATATTTAGGACAGGGGAACTGTATATCTACGGCTGTACATATTTGAAAAGAGCTTTCACATTGCGCTTAGTATCCAGGTGTAGTGTACAGTTTTCCATAGTCATTCTAGGCATGTTGTGTACCATGCATTATGTACACTGCTAAAGGCATCAGCTTTAATACGGCTAAACCAAAAACTAAACTAAGATCAAAATCCGGTCTGTGTCTTTGTCCCCAGGACAGATTTCTGTACAGATTTCTAGTTTTGTCTGTTCCGATGTCCACGGATACTCATCAACAAAGACCTTAACTTCAGATCAAGTATAAACTGCTGACATTGTTCTGTTAGTTTGCTAAACAAAGGTATTTTTCTGACATTAAGGTAAAATTAAGATTGGCACATACACAAAGAACAACGCCCAACAGCTGTTCTGTATCATTGCCTCTGTAATCATCACCAAACCCGTTCACAAACAACCAGGGGCAAAGTGGAGAAACTGAGTAGGTAATAGAGATCTCATTTCTGCAACCTGTAGTATTCTTCTCGCATCAAAGTAAAGTTAAGATTGGCACATTCACAGAGACCAACACTGCACAGCTGTTCTGTACCACTGGCTCTGCAATCAAGCTCACACCCAAACAACCAGGGGCAAAGTGGCGAAACTGAGCAGGTAATAGAGACCTCATGAGCAGGAAATAGAGACCTCATTTCTGCAACCTCTAACAACCTTTGTCACAAGAACAACCAACCTGTTCTTTATCAGGATGTGCCCACCGGCAAGGGGCATGACTGGGAAATGGTGATCCAAGATATCTGTTCTGTTTGTCTTTCAGTTCGCTCAACAGGTTTACTTATCAGATGGCCCTTTGGGCATGAGACAAATAGTAACCCGACATGCAGCAGAGATGATACGTCGTTTTATAAGGTAGGGTAAATAAGTGAGCCAAAGTTTGTTGATTCAGCTGAAAGCGTCGCCAGCCTTGACCTAGAACCGATACTTGGGACTGTACAACTTCGTGCCGTAGGTACCAAGCACTGCCATAGCTAGTCTGCCAATCACAAAGAAATAATCATTTTTGTAGAACCTGGCCGACACGTAGAAAAAAAACCTGTCAACACATTCTGTGGGGTACAGTATAAACAACTCCTCACACTCACACGTTCAACACCTAAGACCTGCCAACAACAAGCTCCCTTCTGTTGTTTTGAAGCTACATCCTTGGCGAGGGTCTTAATTTCCAGCGAGGTCTTGGCACGCGAGGACTACGGAGCACACAACCTTATTATAGACATTTGCGTTGTTTACAGTGCCTTGAAGTTCGTTCTAACCAAAGGACGTTGGAGAGTCATATATAGTATTCCGAAACCCCATCACTGCAGTGAGATTAGCCTACAAAAAAAGTAATTTTCAATACATAATATTTCCTTTGTTTTGATTGAGAGTAAGCTTTCCCAATGACCACATAATGTAACCACTAGTTTTTTTTTACTGTTTATACGGCGTACACACTTACATATATATACACTTAACACTCCGTCAGAATTCGTGAAATCCAAATCAACGAAAGAATATCTCAAGTCAAACTTTTGAAAGTTACATTAATTTGCATTGTTTGCCTAACCAACCAAAGTTCGCAGACCTAAACCTGAGTATGGAATCGTGCCTTCCAAGGATACACCAAGCTCAAACACAGCACTGGTGGGTCGAATTATGTGCTCCGGGGCCGCACGGTTCTGTAACGTGTCAGTGAACCTGTTTATCCGTCACGCTTCACGTGCGCTCACCCTGACCCACAGCTACAGAGAGCAGGGCGCTGATATAATAACTACTGCAGCGGGGGCAATGACCTGGCATTGGCATGTATAACCAATGGTTCTTCTATGTAGTATTTGTGTAACACGTAAAACAGATTTGTTTTTTATGAAGCTGTATCAGGCTTCGATGTTTGTTATCTACATGTAGTATAGTATAACTATCCGTATATATTTGCATATTTTGTGTCGCTGATAGAATTAAACTGCATTGCAGTATCTGAACTCTTTCAGTTGCAGTACAATCTCATGAATCTCGTATGACGGTATGTTGTTAGACATATAAAATACGTTCAGTTTTACGTGTCACTTCAAACACCGTTGCAGCATTTAAACTCTTCAAGGTGCTAGACCATCTTACTATTCCTATGAACTGTTAGGTATAGACTATATTCAATCAATGTCGTATTCAAACAACATTGTAGCTTCTAAACTGTACGACTAATTATCAAAGCAGCATTTTACCTTCCGTCTGTCCTTCAGGTCCATGACCTCTCTTATCACCAACACCTTCCTGTACTGCAGTGTTAACGGTGGGTCCACCGCGCTGTCCTTCCACTGACCCTTCCACCGATGACCCTTCCACCAATGACCCCTCCACTGATGACCCTTCCACCGATGACCCCACCACGGATGACCCCTCCACTGATGACCTTTCCACCGATGACCCCACCACTGATGACCCCTCCACAGATGACCCTTCCACCGATGACCCCACCACTGATGACCCTCTCACCGGCGCGCCAAACGCAGGTACGGCGCCACCGTCACAGATGTGCCCCTGGTACACCTGTCCTCCACAGCACACCTGGAACAACGTAAAGCCGTCAGGTAAACGGCTTCAGTGCTTTTTTTTTTTTTTTTTTTTTTTTCCGTCATTTTTATACAGGGTAACCCAATTCAGTGATGGCACTGCTTTTCAACGGGGCCCTGTATTACACAGCACAATACAACAATCACATACAAATAATAACATTAGCATACAAAAATTATACAATAAATAATTATAATGGCAATGATGATAACGAAAACAATAAATAAATTATAATGGCAATGATAATAACGAAAACACAGTAATTAACCAATAACAGTAATAAATAGTAATAATAACAAAAATACATCATTGTCCAGTCCAGTCATTGTCATTGTCCAGTCCTATATGTTGGCATGGAGGGGTCAGAGGTCAGGCCAATTCTTACATTTCATTTTAAAAATGGACATGGACGGACAGGTCTTAATAGCAGTTGGCAGCCTGTTCCAGAGGGCAGGGCCTCTGTAGGAGAATTTGCGTTTTCCACATTCAAGGCGAACAAGCGGCAGTTTCAAAGATAGGTTCTGGCTGTGTCTGGTGGGGTATCTGTGGGATTCAAAAGCCATCTGGAAGTTATCTATGTAGTCTGGGAGTTCATTGTTGACTGCCTTGTACATTGATTGTAGCAGGTGCAAGTTTCTCCGGGATGATAAAGTTTTCCAACCTAGGGTAGATAACTCACCATCGCCAACATGATGTGTATAACGTAAACGAAGGATAATTCTCACTGCCCGGTTCTGGTATTTTTGCAATTTGTCAGACAAGCATTTACCACAGTTTCCCCATATCACATCACAGTAGTCTATTTTAGGTAGGACTATACAGTTAAACAACATTATGAGAGTATGTTGGGGCAGACATGGGATGAGGCGTCGTATGACTCCCAGTCTGGAAGAGACCGCATTACACAACTTGTCAATGTGAACTTGCCATGTTAAGCTGGAGTCAAGCCAAACGCCAAGGTACTTATAACTGGAAACAACTTCCAAAATGGTGCCAGAAAGGATAACTGACAATTGTTCTGTAACTGACTGCAGCCTACGTGTGGTTCCAAAGAGCATAGCTTTGCATTTATTAACATTGAGAGTCAGTTCATTTGTTTCCAACCATTTCTCAATATTACGAAGATCCGCATTGAGAGCATTGTTTACATCTGTGACTGTCTTGGACGCATAGAAGAGAGCGGTATCATCTGCATACAATACAACATGTCCATTTGATATATAGTCAGGTAAGTCATTAAGGTACATGATGAACAAAAGTGGCCCGAGAACCGAGCCCTGGGGTACTCCCACAGTAACTTCCAGGAAGTCACTCTGGACTCCATTTATGACAGTAGTCTGGTATCTGTCTTTGAGGTAAGAACAGAACCATGTCAATTCCTTGTCTTGTATCCCAAACATTCTAAGCTTAGCCAGGAGGATCTTATGGCTTACCGTATCAAAAGCTTTCTTGAGATCAAGAAAGATTGCTCCGGTAATAAGACCCTTCTCCATATTGTCTATGATGGAGTCAGTGACATGCGTGAGTGTTGTTGTGGTAGAATGTTTGGGTCTAAACCCAGACTGGAACTTGTTAAGTATGTTATGGTCCTTACAGTATGCATATATCTGAGTATGTACAGCCTTCTCAAAAATCTTCATAAATGATGGTATAACGGAGATCGGTCTGTAATTATTACAGCTGCTCTTGTCACCTTCTTTAAATAAGGGGGTGACTTTGGCTCTCTTCCAGTCCCTCGGGACTTCACCTGAAGAGAGAGATAGGTTATAGATGTATGTGAGAGGACCTGCTATAGCCGGGGCAGCATACCGTATGAGTCTACTGCTCACCCCATCCAATCCGGTACTTTTACCTAGAGGTATACTCATCAGTTGCTTAAGAGTGAACTCAGTGGAGATATTTTCGAATTCAAAGGAAAACTGTGCCGGTCCTGAGACTGTTCTGTATACACCCGCAAAAGCTGCAGCCAGTTTAGAGCCAATTGAGGTAAAGTATGTATTGAATTCATTCGCAGTGTTTTAGAGTCCAGTTAAGAGGCATGCATCTATTTCAGGTACAAAGATAAGATAAAGGAGTCATCCTCAACTGAGGTGAAGCAATATGCTTTTGCAAGTACATTGTAGCTCTCTCTCTCTCTCTCTCTCTCTCTCTCTCTCTCAATCTCCCTGTCTCTCTCTTCGCTAGTAGGTCTCAAAAGACTATGACTTAACTGCACAAAAATAGGTTGGTACAGTTCCTTTAAAAATTGAGCTCAAATATATACAACATATTTCAAGTACAAGGGTAAGTTTAGATCCGGACAAGCTGAAACTTGAAGTTCCTTCGAAGATCGAACATGGTGAGGTACTCTGTGTCTCACCTGCCTGCCTACGTTGAAGACGACCTCACCGCAGCAGCCCCACACAGGTGAGGCAGGGACGGTGGACAGGCTGTTACCGCACCTCAGACAAGTGTTCTCCCCCTCAGCACCTGCACGCACCTGTCGACGACCAATATTCACTGTGCATTGCTCTGAGTGTATCCTCACAACAACTTAAGTATTCTATGGCCCATGGGGCTCTTCATTATGGAATGCGTAAGCTCTGTAGTAAGCAAAGCACCTTATAGCTTGGTGTATGAAAGACGTTGCATTATACTATAATCAGGGGGTATTTTGCTCATCTTTTATGCCATTAGAACTACATATGTGAAACTTAAATGTATACGACACCGGTATCAAAAAGGCGCCAGAAAACTACCATTAGATACATGTGTGATAGCGTGAATGAGTAAGTGAGTGAGTGAGTGTGCGACTCTGTTTCAAAGAATTCAAGAAGAAACACTGTTAAACGTACGCTTCCCTGGCAGCAGAAGTGCGTAGCGGGGTTGTACGGGGTGTTGTCCGGACCGCAGCAGTGCCACTCCGGGTCGGAGGCCGGCCGGATGAACGGCTTGTCTCCGCACGTCTGGCACGCGTTGTACTCGTTACCGCCTTCCCACAACTAGAGAAGATCGTTAAAACTTTAGTAAAGCTACATAAAGTCTCAGATCTAATCACGTATTTCACGAGCAAAATGCCGTCATTACCACCTTCCCACAACTAGAAAATATCGTTAAAACTTTAGTATTTCACGAGCAGAATGCTGTGCAAAAAAAGCAAAAACTGCGCAAACACAATTTACGGCCACATGTTTGAAGTGGGAATTCCACAAAGGCGAGACCATTGAGCGCCCCCAAATGCGACAGATTTTATTTTATGACGATTTACCATATTAAGGATTGACATAACAGGGGACTATCACCTCTTCAAGGAGATATAGATATACAGATATCTCAACTATAGTGAATGATCTGTCAACGATCTTCAGTGCTTTACATTGTGTGTCAATGATTCAGATGACATTGCAATAATACCCATTACTTTCCAATAACTTTTCGCTCATCGGCTTCCCAGGAGACTCAATGTAAAGAACAAAGCCGTGACGGGGGTAGCCACAGACTTACCTTCCCCCCGCAGCAGGTGTGAGTTGCCTTGTTGTAGGCGTCCAGCCCGCAGCAGTAGTAGGACGGCTCGCTAATCCTCCTGCTGTACGTCTTACTGATGCACCTGTAATAATGGAGTAAAAGCCAAAGGCAGGTAGGGTTATTCTTGTTGGCAATCTACGCGTATCCAGAACCGTGCCTGGGACAAATCTACGTCATTGGGAACAAATCTACGTCATTATATCCAGAACCGTGTGGGATCCTTACCCTAAACTATTCAGGCATAGGACTAGATAGGCACGGTTCCGGATACAGTAATGAAACGTTATATTAAGCTGAGAGAGATTTTCTGGGACAGACAGTCAGAGTCAGACTCTAGGTATTTATTGGTGTCCCCAGAACCTTGCAGATTAGCATGAAAAGACTCTGTGTCCATGTACTGTATTCAATAAGCTCTCGTAGCGGCATGTAAAGAAAACAGGTGATTCTACCACCTACGCACCTCTGGCAGACGAACTCGTTCTCTGGCCCGTCCTTCAGTTCGTCGAAGCAGCAGTGCTGCCTGGCGGGGTTGTAGGGCAGCTTGTTGGCGCCGCAGCACTTGTAGTGGGGCTCGGTGCGTTGCCTGCGAGGAAAAAAAGGAAAAGGTGTCATGAAAGTTCATCTGTGTTGCTAGTAATCATAGTAAAGTGTTTAACTTTATTCCAACACAAAGGTAAACTGAGATCAAATTTTCAGAGACCACTGTCGCCTTCATCAGAGCTGAAATTCTCTTTTCGACAAGCACAATGGACCCACAGGTTAATGTCCCGTCCTACGTACGGACTGCGAGCCTTTCCAGTGGCGTGAATTTCGAACTTCCAACCTCTTAAAATTGTTCGGATCGAGACGAATTGATTCGCTTTGATCCGGCTTCGACTCGGATCGAGCCGCATAAAAACCGGATCAAAGCGAATCGATTCAGTTCGATACGAACAATTTTACCCTAGTGAGAATGGGGCCTTAGTCCAGAGACATCAACACCATTAATGAACCACATTAAAGTTAGCCCTCCTTTCGGCCTTCGATTCGCAACCTTCGATTGAGCCTTCGATTCGAATGGTATGCACTATTTCGGATACGTCTCAGGCGCGGAAGCATTCTACTGTCCCACATATGCAAATGAGCACGCATACAGTATGTAAATAGACATTCCACGTACGTATGTCAAACCAAACCACAACCTTTCAGACTCTGTATTCATTTGATTAAATAATCGTCTAATTTTCAACAACCAAATGAGTCTTTATAATCTTTAAGTGGTTAATACTATCGAATTAAATTAATTAAATCAACGCACATGGATTTATCTTCACGTCAAAGATTCAAGAATGCCGTCGAGAAGCGCACCCAACATGTTTCAATCCGACGCCTTCTTGCAAAGTATCGAAATAATTTTTAATAACGGAAAATCTTTTACAAATCTTTTGAAAGGTTCAAACTATAAGATTCAACTAATGAAACTAACACACATTTTGTAGTTTTGACGCTATGACGTCATGGATTCAACCATACAGATTCGTAGGGCCAGAATCCCTGTTTATATGATGATACATGTATTCAACTACTCGTAGCTAATTTAACGAAATAATTTTAAGTTTTCAAATCATTTTAAACATTCTTTTAAAGGTCCATACCACTAAATAAAACTGATAAAACTAACGCACATTGCGTCGTTTTGACGCTATGACGTCATGGATTCAACCATACAGATTTCCAGGGCCAGAATCCCTGTTTATATGATGATACATGTATTCAACTACTCGTAGCTAATTAACGAAATAATTCTAAGTTTTCAAATCATTTTAAACAATCTTTTAGAGGTCCATACCACCAACTAAAACTGATAAAACTAACGCACCTTGCGTCGTGTTGACGTCATGACGTCATGGATTCAACCATACAGATTTGTAGGGCCTGAATCCCTGTTTATATAATGGTATTCAACTACTCGTACCGAATTAACGAAATAATTTTTGGTTTTCAAATCACTTTTAACAATCTTTAAGAGGTTCATACCACTAAATAAAACTGATAAAACTAACGCACATTGCGTCGTTTTGACGTCATGTCATACCGTCATGTCATGCCATGTCATGCAGAACCGCAACCGCGGTCTATTTAATTATATTTGACGCGTTGTAGCAAAGTAACGAAATAATTTTAAGTATTCAAGTGGTTTTTAACAATCTTTTAGAGGTCCATACCATCAAAGAAAACTAATAAAACTAACGCACATTGTGTCGTTTTGACGTCATGACGTTATAGATCCAACAATATAGATTTGCAGGACCGCATTCGAATTGTATTTAATAATACTAGTATTTAACGCCTTGTAGCAAAGTAACGATATAATTTTTAGTAATCAAATAACTTTTAACAAGTCTTAAGTTATCTACACTTCGTTAATTAGGTACGAGTAGTTGAATATCATTATATAAACAGGGATTCAGGCCCTACAAATCTGTATGGTTGAATCCATGACGTCAAAACGTCGCAATGTGCGTTAGATTTCTCAGTTTTGGTTGATGATATGGACCTATAAATGATTGCTAAATTCATTTGAGAACAAAAAATTATTTTGTTAATTAGGTACGAGTAGTTGAATATAATTATATAAACAGGGATGCAGGCCCTAGAAATCTGTATGGTTGAATCCATGACGTCATAGCGTCAAAACGACGCAATGTGCGTTAGTTTTATCAGTTTTATTAAGTGGTATTGACCTCTAAAAGATTGTTAAAAGTGAGTTGAAAACTGAAAATTATTTCGTTAATTAGGTAC